AGAGCCTCAATTTGACTTCTTGGCAGTTAAAGATGGTGGATCACCCGAGTCACCTGTCCTGGGCACATTCTCTGGGAACCAGGTTCCCCCTTCACTAACAAGCAGTGGGCATGTATTAAGGCTCGAATTCCAGACAGATCACTCCACTGAGAAGCGAGGATTCAATATCACATTTACCAGTAAGTATTCAAATTCAACAATGTGTAACTATGTTGAAACTATAATTGTAACACAATTCTAGATCAATTCCAGTAAGTGATGGCGATTGACTTGTGAAACATTCCCTTCTTCTTTCATGTCCTAACTAAGTTCTTTTCCACAGAGGTCACAGAAATTGGCTAATTAATTTTCTCCTATTTAAATTCCCTTATTTATGCCTTGTTCTGAATCAAGGAGTGACATATTTTTGAATAATGGCAAGCATAAATGGAATACTTTGTGAGTAGCTACAGTGCTCCCAGATAGCATCTATACATGTAATTAACATGGTAACAAAAAAAACTGAGGTCTAGATTTCCTAATGTGCAAAAAAAACCTGAAATATGGAATTTGATTGATTGTTGTCATACTAATTATGCATTCCTTTCCCATGTCTTCAATATGAAATCATTGGGATTACTGTTTATACAAGAACTATCAATAAGAGTTGTAAAGAGGATAGGCTCAGCTATCAGCAGCTGCAAACTATGCATGAGACAGGTACACCCAAGAACAAACCAAGCAGGTTTTTCTGCTTTTTTATATTAAGCAAGGCAGTAAATAAAGATAGTTCAGTGCATAAGGGCTTTGTACAACATGTCCATAACTTAAAACAAAAACAAAACATCTGTACTAACCTCTAAACCCATGTCAGTTTCTGAATAACAGGGTGCCCCCTAATGGGTTCCCCAAACAAACACAGGCATTACATGTACCTTTTTAGTGCGTTCAGATTTTTGTAATAAAGAATAGGGTATTTTTTATATTACATGTTTAATGTGTTTTGACCTCCTCAAAGTCCCAGGGGTAATTTCCCTTTTGGTACTTTTTTGCAAGTGTATTGTGGGATGGAGGTAACCAGGGGTGGACTGACCATTTGGAAACTCGGGCACTGCCCGAGGGCCTGGGGTCAGTAGGGGTCCCATAAGATGCCCCTGGTACCTTTTTCATAGGCTTTTTTGAGTTTGGGCAAGGACACAGGGGCCCCATGATCCCCTATTGCCCGGGGGCCCCATAAGTTGTCAGTCCGCCCCTGGAGGTAACTATGCCTCTTTGGTAGGTGTTACATTAATAGTACACATGTACCTTTTTAGTGTTCTGTCAGACGTCTGCCTTTTTACTCACCAGCAGGCTCTCACAGAGGACAGAATGAGAGAGCTTTTGAGCCTCAGTCAGCCAACAGGTAAGATGTGGGCCTAGGCATAGATGCTTTATCCCATCCAAAGCCCCTGGGTTCTATGACCCAGATCACAACTTATTAAGATCTGAGAAAACAAAAAGTTTAATTTCTCCACAATAGACACAAATCCTGGAGCTCCTCACCATGTGTAGGTTAGAAACCTAGGTGACACATATACACCATCCACAACATATATGTATCAATGCACACTTGTTCTTGTTAAATATTTATAGGTCATAATACCAGCTGCTCAGATCTGGTTGTCTAAGTCACATTATGAGTAGAAGGGACATTCATTATTAAATGCAGATCACTCTGACATTAAGAGACCCGATGTGGCATTAAGATGCCCAGTGTGTCTCTGTGTTGATCTCTGCAAAGCAGCCCCATGAGATATCTGTGGCATGAGGAAATACATTTTCAAATAACTACTGTAACTGCAGCTGTTCCTGTGACCAAGTGAGTATCAAATAGAGTTTCCTATTTATGTGACTTCCTACAGTGATAATGTTGTTGTGACAATGTCTCCGTGAGAAACTGGCACAAAAATATCTGACCTTGCTGTACTCTGCCAAGAATTCTCAGATACAGCAGCCCAATGTAGCATGGAGGCTTAGTCTTGGTGTGTTTTTTTCCTAAAGAAATGATTATGTTTGATTTGCTGAAAGTGCAGTTAATTAGACTCAATGAAGGTGACTAAAGCTGAGTTAATATTTGGCGCTGCTGCAAATTATTTATTCATAAATGTATAGCAATATTCATCATATGCATGAAAGAAAATTGCGTTAACCCAGCATTAAATAAAGATGGAGGTAGGCTACAGCAAATAAAAATCAGCATTAATTAAGAGATGCATTTAGCTAGACATTCCATTATAGAGGGTGATTCATAAAACCATTTCCAGCCCCAAGTTGACGCTAATCCAAATGACCTGCCTGATGGATTGTAAATAGTATACTTTATTTATGATCTCCCTAGGTATTCTAATCTCAACCCATGTAGTGTAGTGTGACTTGTTGTACCATATGGAAATATGAGCTCATTTATATCAATAGTTTTATGAGCCCGTGTTTTAATAAATAGATATGACTATGGGGCACCATTGCCTCCCATCAAATCTACTCCTGATCATGCTATAATTAGCACGTCTATTAGTAATTGGTTTTGGTACATAGGTTCCTAAATTGTCTATAACCTTCAAACAGGAATCTTTATAACAGCTCACCCTTTGCTTTCCCTTGCATTCAGCCTTTAGACACAACGAATGTCCAGACCCTGGGGTTCCAGTAAACGGGAAGAGATTTGGAGAGAGCTTACAGCTTGGCAGTTCGGTATCCTTTCTATGTGATGATGGCTTTATCCGTACCCATGGTTCAGAAACCATAACCTGCATCTTGAAGGAAGGAAATGTTGTATGGAATAGTGCAGTGCTGAGATGTGAAGGTAATGCTTTGGCTTTTTCAGTTATTGAGAAATTACTATATATATATTTACAGAGTTTCTTTTAATCTCCTGATGGTTTGATGTAGCTGGTAATGCAACCATTTAGTTAATCACTTTAAAATGCTTTTGCAATATAATAATTAGAAGAGATTGCTCCTTTCGTGCAGCTCATCTCAAGTAAGGCTTGTTTTGTCTCCATGCTTTACCTATTGTTCTGTATGCATTATACTGTATTTAATGTATGTATTAATAATTGCAACCATTCTTGTACTTTCCCACTTGTGTTATAATTACAAGAATACACACCTATATCTACAATATTTTGCTGAACATGTTTTAGCCCTTATTGTATAATATAGTCTACAAGGACATGAGATTTCCAACTTCCAAAGACTTTTTTTTTTTAAATTGGTGCATAAACATGGGCGCTTTCCTAAATGCTTTGCACAAGGCTGCCACTCTGCCACTGACCCAGTCTCATAAGAGTAATGAGAAATGTCAAGGAACATCCGAACCCCATCAATCAATTCTTCCCATGAATTGGACATCTACTCAATGTTTGAAGGGGTCACAGAAAGCATATAGACTTGTTTTCCTGTCCAACCTTAAAGTAAACCTGTGCTTTGCCGAGGATTACTTAAATGCAGTCTACCTTGTGCTCCTTCCTTTTGTTTAGGTCACCTGCAGGAGTATGGATAGAAGGCCCTGACATTCTGATCAGAGCTTACACAAGGCTAAGGACTCTAACTTAGTCTCCTAACTGACAGCACTGGGGCCTAGCTATTGGCCAGAGAATGACAGTAAGAGGAGAGAGTTCCAGTCTCCCCATAACTGCGAGTAATGAATATTTATCTTCCCTCCTAGAGCAGTGGAGGAGCAAATGCATCATAAGTATATGCCGAGTGGGGGGGAATGCGGGCAGTGAACCTTGTTCACTTTAATCAAGCCGATCGGACAACAGTCATCTCAATCTTCAGGTGGCTTTATGCTTTGATTCACAAATCTCTCATATCTTCCCTTATGCTAATCTGTATCAATGAGGCTTGTAAAACATAAAGAATTAAACTTCAAAGCGATGTCTCAGCCATTATAACTTAGTTCTGGAGAAAGGAGATCTTTGCTTTGTAGTTAAAAGCTGTTCGTTTTTCTATCTTCTCTATATGAAAACACATTTGTATGTTTTTGAATTAGTCATGGTTTCATGCAGTGGAACGAAAATAAGTAATTAGTGTTCTGTGTTTTTTTAATGATTTTCCTGGAGTGTGTTGAAGCACACACACACACACACACAATTGCCATTTACTAATATGGTTATTTTGGGTTAAAGGTTAGTTTAGCATGAGACAGAAAAATGTAAGTGCAGGGAAGAGATTTGTTATCTGGAACGTATGGAGTCTACAATTTCTTTGTAAGTTGTCTTTCTGAACAACAGAAGCCTGTATAATAGATCCTGTACCTATGCTTCATTTTCACAGGTACAGTATGATGTAGGCAGTTGAAGGGTTAGTGTACACAAAATCATTTCTCAGTCATGTTAACACTGGGGAGGGGGGAAAGTTAACACTGGGGTTGATTTTCGAAAGGCAAATAGGCTGTTGCACTTTGCAAGGGAAGTTGCTAGGGAATTTTCCCCAGCACTTAGTGAATGAGTTGAAGCTGTGTTGACTATCATCATCCAATTATGTGCCAAAAAAAATACTGACTTTTTTTTCCAATGGATGTGATAGGGTATTATTATACAGGATTTATATAGCACCAACAGTTTGCTCAGTGCTTTACAATATAACAGGAGACAATACAGCAACAATACAGTTAAATACAAGAGGGATAGGAGGGCCCTGCTCCTTGGAGTTTACAATCTAGGGTATTATTTGAAAGCTGAAGTTCCATCTTATTCACTAAGCTCTGGGGAACATTCACATGAATAGTGCAACTTCCCTTCCAAGTGAACAGCTTATTTGCTTTTAATAAATCAACCCTACTGTATCCTATGGTCTTTCCACTAAACTTTCCAGTTCCACCCACAGACCTTTTCATGGAGTCACATTTCTGCCGTAGAAGGAGTCTCCTACTGTAGAGTTGCAATCCATTCTTCATTACAGAAATCAAAAACTCCCAAAAACTGAATCAGGTTTGAGGGACTTATTCTTTAATGCTGTTCCTTCTAATGGGAAAGATAACATTTATTCTTCACTACACTTCTGTTATTTAATGTCATCCAAGACTAATCAGGGAATAGTCCATGCCTGTCAGGTAAAAATACTAGAACTGTCTGTTCCAAGACAATCAAAATGGTGAGTGGCAGGGGCGGACTGACAACATATGGGGCCCCATGGCAATAGGGGATCATGGGACCCCTGTGTCCTTTCCCACACTCAAAAAAGCCTATAAAAAAGGTACCAGGGATATCTCATGGGGCCCCCTACTGACCCCGGGCCCTCAGGCAGTGCCCGAGTGCTCAAATGGTCAGTCCGCCCCTGGTGAGTGGTTAACTGACCCTTGCTGCCTTGTCAATTGCCTGACTTCATTCATTGGAGTTGGTTAAATTATAACTTCACACGGGCAGCTAGGGGGCAGTAATTATACATGTGCAAAACAAAAAAATTTGTTTCGTTTTGATTTGTTATTTGGCTAATTTTGTGTCGTTCAATGATTTAAATTTGTTTAATTTGTTTTCTGAATTCGTTTCGTTTCATTTATTCTAATTCTAGTTTGACCGAATTCTAAATTTCGAACGGATTCGAAAATAATTCTAATGGATTTGAAAATAACTCTAACAGATTTTATAATATATATAACGTTACAATTCCTAATCCAAAATCCATATCCATTTCAGCAAAATTTTCACAGTGCATTTGTTGATCAATACTCACATCACCATATCACAGCTCAAATTTTTATTGTTTTGTAAAGTATTCTGAGTACTGTAGTCTATTCTTTTCTTTTCTTTTTCTCTTCTTTTCTATTATATTCATTTATATTCTATTCTAATGTATTCTATTTGAAGTCTAATTCTTTCTATTCGAAATTCGAATTTCAGTAGACAGTTATATTCTTTCTATTTTATTCAATTCTATTCTATAGTTTTTCTATTGTATTCTTTTCTTTTTGAATGTATTTTTTGATTCTTTATTCTAATATTTTGTATTCTATTCTATTCTTTTCTATTCCTTTTTTAAATTCTATTCTAATCTTTTCTATTTGAAACTATTCTTTGATTTTCAATTCTAGTATTTTCTATTTTATTCTAATCTATTCTATTCTAATTGATTCTATTCCTTTCTATTCTATTACTTTATTTTCTATTCTATTTTGTTTTACTATTGTATTCTTTTCTATTCTGTTCTTTTCTCATCTATTATTTTCTATTCTTTTCTAATGTATTCTATTCAAATTCAAATTAATTCTACTTAAAATTTGAATTTCAGGAGACAGTTATATTGTTTATACACTGCTCAAAAAAAATTAAAGAAACACTTTGAAAAACACATCAGATCTCAATGGGGGAAAATATCGTGCTGGATATCTATACTGATATGGACTGGGTATTGTGTTAGGAATGTAAGGATGCCCCATTGTTTGATGGAAATGTAAATTATCAATCTACAGAGGACTGAATTAAAAGACACCCTGAAAATCAAAGTGAAAAAATGATGCAGCAGGCTAGTCCATTTTGCTGAAATTTCATTGCAGCAATGCAAAATTGTACTCAATAGTTTGTATGGCCCCCACGTGCTTGTATTCACAGCTGACAACATCAGGGCATGCTCTTAATGAGACAAAGGATGGTGTCCTGGGATATTTCCTCCCAGATCTGGATCAGGGCATCACTGAGCTCCTGGACAGTCTAAGGTGCAACCTGGCAGCGTCGGATGGACTAAAACATGATACCCCCAGGTGTTCTATTGGATTTAGGTCAGGCGAACGTGGGGGCCATTTAGTTGGAATTGTCATGCACCAGGAGGAACCCAGGACCCACTGCACCAGTGTAGGGTTTGACAATGGGTCCAAGGATTTCATTCCAATACCTAATTGGGTGCCATTGTCTAGCCTGTAGAGGTCAGTGTGTCCCTTTATGGATATGCCCTCCCCAGGCCACCAAAACAGTCATGCTGAACAATGTTACAGGTAGCATAACCTTCTCCATGGCTTCTCCAGACCCTTTCACGTCTGTCACATGTGCTCAAGGTGAACCTGCTCCCAGCTGTGAAAAGCACAGGGTGCTAGTGGCGAACCTGCCAATTCTGGTGTTCAATGGCAAATTCCAGTCGAGCTCTATGGAGCCAGGCAGTGAGCACAGAATCCACTAGAGGTCGTCGGGCCCTCAGGCCACCCTCATGAAGTCTGTTTTTGATTGCTTGGTCAGAGACACTCACACCAGTGGCCTGCTGGAGATCATTTTGTAGGGCTCTGGCAGTGCTCATCCTGTTCCTCCTTGCACAAAAGAGCAGAGACCAGTCCTGCTGATGGGTTAAGAACCTTTTAAAGCCCTTTACAGCTCTCCTAGAGTAACTGCCTGTCTCCTGGAATCTCCTCCAAGCTCTTGAGACTGTGCTGGGAGACACAGCAAACCCTCTGGCAATGGCATTGATGTGCCATCCTGGAGGAGTTGGATTGCATGTGCAACCTCTGCAGGGTTCAGGTATCCACTCATGCTAAAAAAAAAGATGAGTAGGTCAGTGGCCTCTACCTGTAAAACCATTCCTGTTTTGGGGGTTGTCTCATTGTTGCCCATCTAGTGCACCTGTTGTTAATTTCATTAACCCCAAAGCAGCTGAAACTGATTAACAACCCCCTCTGCTACTTAACTGACCAGATCAATATACCAAGAGTTTAATTGACTTGATGCTATACTCTGATTAAAAAGGGTTCCTTTAATTTCTTTGAGCAGTGTATTTCATTCTAGTCTCTTCTATTGTTTTTCTATTCTATACTAATCTTTTCTATTCTTTTCTAGTTTATTCTTCGATTTTTCAATTTTATTCTAATCTTTTCTATTCTATCCTTTGATATTCTATTCTATTTGTTTCTTTTCTATTCTATTTTATTTTATTTTCTATTCTATTCTTTCCTATGCATTTATTTTCTATTCTATTTTATTCTATTCTTGTTGTCAAGTTCAAATTTGTTTTCAAATTTGAATCGATTCAAATTTTGGCCGAATTTCATTTCTTTATTTTGGATTTGTTTAAATTCGTTACTATTGTAATTCGGAATTCAGATACATCCAAATCTCTGAATAACAGAAAATTTGTCAGAAAATTTGTTCGAATTTCAATTCGGAAGTAAATGAACCACACATATCTAGCAGTAAAGGTTGGTGGTTAAGCCACAGTTTTACTGCCACCTGACCATCCATCTAAAGAAAGACATGCAGCTACTCAGGGCTGTACACATGCTTTGGTTGAGATGCCTTTCCTAACAGGAAAAATTAAATCCCCTGTTGTGCTCAGCAGCTGTACTGCCCATATATTAAAATTATTGGGGCCACAGCACAACCTCCCTGCAACCGCATGCAATGGGTTCAGTTAAAATAGGCGGTGAGGATGCAACTGCCCTCTCAAAAGCAATCCACCATGACTAGCAAAGGCAGCCACATGTTTTAATGAGCCCTAATGAATGTTAACTATGTAAAAAAAGTTATTTAATGTTCATTTAGCTAAGTAAATTGCGGAATGATTCACTATGACTGTCCAAACACATAGTTGCCAACATTTCCCCAAACTTTTTTAGGGACACTTTTTTTACTTTCTGTATGTCCAGAAAGGTGGTATGGAGTTACATTTTAATTATGGGCGGATCATTCAATTGTGGGTGTGGCTTTTGTGAATCAACAATAACTGCAACCAAAATGACCATGTTTTCAGATACGCTGATTAGTTGGCATGGCTTAAAGGGGTGTGGTTAAATAGAGTCTGAGCTGACTTACATAGTGGAGAATGTGGTAATGTTAAATAGGGAGTATACTGTAGGTAAGGCAGTGTACAGGGGTCAGTAGTATGTAGGGCAGTGTACAGAAGTCAGTAGTATGTAGGGCAGTGTACTAGTGGTGTATTTGGTTTTGTGCTGACCTAGGCAAGGCTAAAATTGGGTCCCCCTTATCTAAATTTGTCCCACCCCTTCTTTTTAAGATCCACCCCTTCATGTTCCACCTCTGCACCGCCTTCTGAGCACCTGGTCCATCTCTGCACCCCCTTCTGAGCACATGGTCCACCTCTGCACCCCTTCTCTGAGCACCTATTACACCACTGCACCCCCTCCCATTCTACATACACACATACTACATTCACATATATACTACTACATACATACATACTAAATTCACATATGCACATACTACATTCACACATGCTACATTCACATATACTACATACATACATACTAAATTCACATATGCACATACTACATTCACACATGCTACATTCACACATGCACATGCACACATGCTACATACACACATGCTACATATACATACACTACATATGTCCCACCACCACAGCACTTACCTTCATTTCCCTAGGTAAAAGAAGGAGGGTCTGGGCGTGATTATCTGTGAGGCTGGCAGCACCCTCTCCCACCCACTCACTCTGCACAGCTTCAATCACAGAGCCTGGACAGAGCTGCTGGGGAAGGGAGAAGGAGGGAGGCAATGTGGATGTTGGCAATGTATTCCCCTGTGTGCCGACACCCACCTGAGTGGCAATGTAAAAAGTACACAGAGCAGAACTGTGGCGCCAGCCAGCCACCCCGCACAGGGGACACACTATCCGAGAATATTTCCAATTTTCAGAATGGAGCCCGGCCGTGACCGGGCTTTAAAATCCAGAACCATCTTGGGCAATCCATCACAGTTGGCAATTATGAAATCATGTAGTAGCAAAAATCCTGTCTGAGAATCTCCCTTGAACATGGGCATTCACAATGAACACAGCTTCACCATATACACATGAATTTTCCTGAGTGAACGTTCGCTACACCTGGTAGTAAATCTCACCATTTTTTTTCCATCTTTTAAATGTGCACTGTACAAAGTCAACAGGGATGCAACTGTCAGACCTCAGGTGACTGCTGATTCCCTGACCGTTCAACTAGCAAGTGAGGGGGATGAAAGTCAGTTTAGTAATAGGTCTGCAAAGATACAATAATTAAAGTTTGATTATTCCTGACACACCTGTTGACAGTTCTAGTTTATAGGCTGAGTTAGAGAGCTGCTATTTGTTGAACATCATTATTACAGATTACAGATAAAAATTACTGTCTACTTGTATAGTTTCTTTAAAAAAAACAGAGCTCTTAGGCCAGATTCACACTTCAAACTTTGCTGCATTGCAGAGTAATTGTTGCAAATATGCTACGCATTAGTACAAAAAAATGAGTCATGTTTTAGACATGTCAAGGTATGTTATCAGACTATTCATTTTGAATGGGCTACCTTAATGCGTGTTAACACTCAACGTTATTGCATTAACACACCACATGTAA